ACGCCATTCTCCTGCCTCAGCCTCCCAAGTAGCTGGGACTACAGGTGCCCGCCACTTCGCCCGGCTAGTTTTTTGTATTTTTTAGTAGAGACGGGTTTTCACCGTATTAGCCAGGATGGTCTTGATCTCCTGACCTCGTGATCCGCCCATCTCGGCCTCCCAAAGTGCTGGGATTACAGGCGCGCGTCACCAAGTCCAGCTAATTTTTTTTTTTTTTTTTGGTCGCCCAGACTTGAGTGCAGTGGCACGATCTCGGCCGACTGCAACCTCTGCCTCCCGGGTTCAAACGATTCTCTTGCCTCAGGTGTCCGCCACCACGCCCAGCTAATTTTGTAATTTTAGTGGAGATAGGGTTTCTCTCTGTTGGTCAGGCTGGTCTCGAACTCCCAACCTCAAGTGATCCACCACCTCGACCTCCCAAAGTGCTGGGATTACAGGCGTGAGCCACCGCGCCCGGCCTAAATTTTGTATGTTTAGTAGAGATGGGGGTTTCCCCATATTGGCCACACTGGTCTCGAACTCCTGACCTTGTGATCCACCCGCCTCGGCTTCCCAAAGTTTTGGGATTACAGGCGTGAGGCACCGCACCCAGCCCAAGCCCGGCTAATTTTTAAAATATTTTTAGTAGTGACGAGGTTTCATCATATTGGCCAGGCTGGTCTTGAACACCTGACCTCCAGTGATCCGCCCATCTCGGGCTGCCGAAGTGCTGGGATTAGAGGCTTGAGCCACCTCAAGCCTCTAATCCTTCAGGAGCATCGATTTTGTCCCCGTGCCTCTTGTGTGTGTTCTAGTGTGGGAGTGACGGCGGCTGCTTTCCAGCACAAGCCCATTTGACTGTTTGGGTTTGGACAAGTGGCTGCTACGACACTAAGGTGGAGATAAGGATGGAGCGAGGACTCCCAGAGTTGGGAGAGCTTGCAGGCTTACTGGGACCTCAGTCCGGCACAAGTTCCCAGCGAGGTGCCGCCGCCCCAGCCTACGCACGCGCAGTCGCACCGTCTCTGGCCACCCTCGTGCCCCGCCCGCCCTCTCCGGGGGCCTTCTCTCCGCTCGGCACCAGGGTGTCCGCGGCGCCGCCTGATCCTGTTAGCGCGGTACTGTGAGTGCAGTCCGTCCTCGGCGCTGTTTTCCCTGACTTGCTGTCGACGCCAGGAAGGAAGGACGCGCGCAGAGGACCGCAGAGGAGTGGCCGTGGCGGAGGGAAGAGAGCCCCGCAGCACTGAAGGTTTGGGCTTGCAGGCGCTGCAGGAGGCGCCCAGGCGGGGTCCTGTTTCTCAGCCGGCTCTGAGCGGGAGGCGTGAGCGGGAAGCATTGGCGTGCCGCGACTTCCCAGAGCTTGGGGTTCGGCGCTATGGAGGAGCTCGATGGCGAGCCAGCAGTCACTGTAAGGGCACCCCGAACAGGCTTGATCGTTCTTGCGGGTTGAGAACTGCGTCTGCTTCGTTACTTCAGGCTTGTCTGCTTCCCTACTGGCCGCGAGGCTCTCGTCCCCTTCCCTTGATTCAGTTGCCACTTTCCGGAGGTCGCAATGTTAACGAGGTGCCCGACCTCGGGTCGTGGTGGTCGCGGGGTTTCTGCCACCAGTCACAAAGCCAGGCCTCGAAGGTCCCAGTCCGTCCCTTTCCTTCCTTTGTCTTGCTGACCTTTCTACTTCCCTCGCATTTCCTCTTGGGTGTTAGAGTGGGTTCAGCCCATGCAAAGGAATTTATGTTTTTCTTCCAGCCATATTAAGCTCTGCATCGCGGCACGTTGAGTTTCTGCTTGTGTGACCTAAGGTTTATTAAACGTGTTCTCTCAGGAGACTATTCATATTTTATCGCTGTGCATTCAATTCCATTTGAACTTTGAAGAGAGTATGTCAACTGTGGATGATCTGTGATGTGTATAAAAAAAATTCATGGACTTTATGTGCGACATACCTACCGTTTCTGCTACTTGGAATGCTTTTGTTTTTCCTCTTTCTCTTGTTAACCGCTGACTGAGGCAGCTCTCAACCGATAAAGGTTTATTTAGCTAAGGTTGAGGATCCAACCGGGAAAAAACACAGGTCACAGGAGGATCTGAGACTTGTGCTTTTTCCAGAGATGGTTTTGGGAACATCAGTAGTTAAAGAGGAAGGAACTAGCAAGAGGGGCAAAAAAGGGAGGTTAGGCAGTGAGGAGGCAAATGGTTACATTCTTGTGAGTCTCTGATTAGCCTCAGTAAATCTGCATTTTACCTGTGAAAAGAGGGAGTGGAGGAAAAATTTATGTATGCATTCATCTCAGGGTAGGTAGAGGGATGGTTTCATTTCTTTTTTTTTTTTTTCTGAGACGGAGTCTCGCTCTGTTGCCCAGGTTGGAGTGCAGTGGCGCCCCTCTGGGCTCACTGCAAGCTCGGCCTCCCGGGTTCACACCATTCTCCTGCCTCAGCCTCCCCCAGTAGTTGGGACTACAGGCGCCCACCACCACGCCCGGCTAATTTTGTTTTGTATTTTTAGTAGAGACGGGATTTCACCGTGTTAGCCAGGATGGTCTGGATCTCCTGACCTCGTGATTTGCCCACCTCGGCCTCCCAAAGTGCTGGGATTACAAGTGTGAGCCACTGCGGCTGGCCTCTTTCTTTTTTTGAGACGGAGTCTCACTTTGTCACCAAGGGTGGAGTGCAGTGGCGCCATCTGAGCTCACTGCAACCTCTGGCTCCCAGGTTCAAGCGATTCTTCTACCTCACCCTCCTGAGTAGCTGAGATTACAGGTGCGTGCCACCACACCCAGCTAATTTTTATATTTTTGGTAGAGATGGGGTTTCACCATCTTAGTCAGGCTGGTCTTGAACTCCTGACCTCGTGATCTGCCTACCTCGGCCTCCCAAAGTGTTGGGATTACAGGCGTGAGCCACCACACCTGGCTAGGAGTTCGAGACCAGCCTGGCCAACATGGCGAAACCCCGTCTCTACTAAAAAAAATACAAAAATTAACCTAGCGTGGTGGCGCATGCCTGTAATCCCAACTACTCAAGAAGCTGAGGCAGGAGAATCACTTGAACACAGGAGGCAGAGGTTGCAGTGAGTGGAGATCGTGAGATCGCGTCACTGCACTCCAGCCTGGGCAACAAGAGTTCGAACTCCTGACCTCAGATGATCTGCCCGCCTCAGCCTCCCAAAGTGCTGGGATTACAGGTGGGAGCCACCGTGCCCAGCACAAAATGAATTTTTCTTACTAGTGTTATAAGAAAATGTTATTGAAGGATACAATGTTATTACAGGACCAGCTGTGCTCTTCACTTAAAGTGTTTTTCAGCCAGGCCGGCATGGTGGAAAGTGTTTTTCAGCCAGGCGGGCACGGTGGCTCACGCCTGTAGTCCTAGCACTTTGGGAGGCTGAGGCGGGCGGATCACCTGAGCTCGGGAATTTGTAACCAGCCTGGGCAATATGGTGAAACTCCGTTTCTACTAAAAATGAAAAAAAAATAAAATAGCCGGGTATGGTTGCACACATCTATAGTCCCAGCTACTCAGGAGGTTGAGGCAGTAGAAAACCTTGAACCCAGGAGGCGGAGATTGGAGTGAGCTGAGATTGTGCCACTGTACACCAGGCTGGGAGACAGAGTGAGTCGCTGTCTCAAAAAAAGAATAGAACGACTTCAGTAAGAAGAACATTCTTCATTTTAGATTTCTATGTCTTATTTTACTAGGTGATTCCAGGCGTGAATTCCAAGAAGAACCAAATGTGTTTTGACTGGGGTCCAGGGGAGATGCTGGTGTGTGAAACCTCCTTCAGCAAAAAAGGTAGGGGTTTTTTTTCTTCCAAATTGTCCATCTTGGCACATTTGGTTGTTTTTCTGTTTATTACCTCAGATTTGACTAGTTGTGGACTGAAACAATTGAATTTGTTTTGTACCATTTTAATTTTCTTTATTTTGTTTTCAAGATACAACAGGGTTTTGTTGTGTCACCCAGGCTGGAGTACAGTGCGATCATGGCTCACTGCAGCCTCTACCTCCTGGGCTCGAGTGATCCTCCACCTCAGTCTTCCTGGTAGCTGAGACTGCAGGTCACCGTGCCCCCACACCCAGCTCATTTTTTTTTTTTTTTTTTGTAGAGATAGGAGTCTCGTTTTGTTTCCTAGGCTGGTCTCACACTTCTGGCCTCGAGTGATCCTGCTGCATTTTGGCATTTTTATTTTTGAAATGTTAGCTATTTTAGATTTTCATTGATTTTTGAGATCTTGAAGATGTTGAATCCTGGAAAAAAATTAACAGTAGTTTTCATGAAAAATTTTCTTCATATTTAAAATGTCAAGCTTTTTATCTGTTTTTCTTTGTCCAAAGTGACCAAATTCCTCAGTAGCTTCCTTATTGTGAACCTTGCAGATGCTTGGCCATCACTTTTGTGTCCACAGCATGGATTCAGCTGAATAATAGTTCTGTAGGCTGAGCTAGCATCCAAAGCACAGATGGAGCTGGAGAGTGACATAGCTTGTCCTTGGCTTGATTTTCTAAGTTCCATCAGCTATTGGATAGGATGTGAATCTTTTTCTTTTCCTGATACAGTCTCCCTCCAGTAGCAGGATAAAACTGGAATCTTGACATTTGATTTGTTTTCTTTCTTTCTTTCTTTTTTTTTTTTTTTTTGAGATGGAGTCTCGCTCTGTCCAGGCTGGAATGCAGTGGTGCGATCTTGGCTCACTGTCACCTCTGCCTCCCCGGTTAAAGCAATTCTGCTGCCTCAGCCTCCTGAGTAGCTGGGAATGAAGGCACGCGCCACCACACCCAGCTAATTTTTGTATTTTTAGTAGAGACAGGGTTTTGCTATGTTGGCCAGCCTGGTCTCGAGCTCCTGACCTCGTGATCCGCCTGCCTTGGCCTCCCAGAGTGCTGGGATTATAGGCATGTGCCACCGTGCCCGGCCACAAAACATTTTTTTTAGAGTAGATTGACTTTTGGGGATGATCGTAATAGATGTTAATTTTTTTTTTTTTCTGTTTTGTTTCAGAAAAATCAGAGATGGTGCCAAGTTGCCCCTTTATCTATATCATCCGTAAGGATGTAGATGTTTACTCTCAAATCTTGAGAAAACTCTTCAATGAATCCCATGGAATCTTTTTGGGCCTCCAGAGAATTGATGAAGAGTTGACTGGAAAATCCAGAAAATCTCAGTAAGTTGGTTGCTGTTTGGTGTTGAAGCCCACTCTACACTGTGGAAAGCCAAATGAAGTACATTGTCGTCTTTTTGTGTGTTTTAAGGGTTGCGTAAAGAAATAAGAGACTCCTGGTTCTAGTTGAGGCATTAGTACTGGACAATGTGCATTAGCAGTGATAGGAAGACTTAGCGGGAATATGCAAATGCTGTTGGTTGGCTGGCTTGACAAGCTTTATTTATAGTCCTATTTTACTTACCCTCTAAAGAAGAAAATTAAGGCCACACAAGCATGTGAGAGTCATTGAATGAGGTCACATTGTTGGGAGATTTGAAAATTAATATAACAGTTTTGTCTCTAAAAATTATGGTTGAGACATTATCTGACAACAGACCAGAAAACTCTTGTAGTATTTATAGATTAGGATTTTCTTGAATTGTAGTTCATAACTTCATCATTATCCGAGTAGTACTTGTAAATTGTAGACTTTTGGGACCCACCGCAGATCATCAAAATCAAAATCTCTGGTTGGATCTTAAAATCTCCAGCACACTGGAGTTTAAGAACTCCTGTGTTAGACTTTTGTCAGCATCCCTTCACATGGCTAGGGCATGGGCGGTGTTGGTATATTACTTCTTTGATAAGCTTTTCACAAATGAATCATTCTGGACAAGACCCAGGTCAACTTCTGTGTGAGTGTGTGTGAGAGTGATTATTGGTTGTTTTCTGTTTTTTTTTTTTTGAGACGGAGTCTCGCTCTGTCGCCCAGGCTGGAGTGCAGTGGCCGGATCTCAGCTCACTGCAAGCTCCGCCTCCCGGGTTTACGCCATTCTCCTGCCTCAGCCTCCCGAGTAGCTGGGACTACAGGCGCCTGCCACCTCGCCCAGCTAGTTTTTTGTATTTTTTAGTAGAGATGGGGTTTCACTGTAGCCAGGATGATCTCGATCTCCTGACCTCGTGATCCGCCCATCACGGCCTCCCAAAGTGCTGGGATTACAGGCTTGAGCCACCGCGCCTGGCCGTATTTCTGTTTTTTTCAAGACAGAGTTTCACGTTGTCGCCCAGGCTAGAGTGCCTTGGTGCGATCTCTGCTCACTGCAAGCTCTGCCTCCTGGCTTCACGTCATTCTCCTGCCTCAGCCTCCTGAGTAGCTGGGGCTATAGGTCCCCGCCACCACGCCTGGCTAATTTTTTGTATTTTCAGTAGAGATGGGGTTTCACCGTGTTAGCCATGATGATCTCCGTATCCTGACCTCGTGATCCACCCGTCTTGGCCTCCCAAAGTGATGGGATTACAGGCGTGAGCCACCATGCCCGGCCCTGTTTTTTGTTTTTT